TTGGGGTCGACATTGCAATCATATGTGATCTGTCTTGTATATTTTGTATTGCTGTTGCTTAAATAGCAATAGTATGACAGAGTATTATACTTTTTTTCTTTTCTAAGTGCTATATAAATTTGCCTGGTACGGCTGCAGTCCTCTGGTTGTGTACTGGACTTTTCAAAAACTGTTTGGGGTAGCTGCCACTTGAACAAATTGTTGCCATCCAGGGGGCATTAGTATTTTAAGAAATGTGGTGGATGTTTTAAAAAATGTAGTTGACATCTCCAGCAAGCCAGAATCAGCTCAGATAAAAAGTGGAATTTCTTGAGTCTCCAGATTTTTAAAATGTAGGCACCTGATGTGCATATTCATTCATCCATGGACCACTGTTTCTTGCTTGTACCTCTGGCTGACTAAATTTGGGGACAGATTCAGTCTTGCCTTATACAAAGGGGATCATAAAGTTAGAATATATTTTCTATGTACTAGTACTGTGTACTGTATAGACAGTTTGTAAATGTTATTTCTGCGAACACCTTCTTATGATAATTATATATAATATATATATATCAGTTTGATGACACTATTTTAGTCTTAATGCCAAGTCAGCAGATTTGCTTTATGAAGTACAGGGACTAGAATTGCCCACATTCAGGAAATTTGTAATAACATTGTGTAGGCACCTATCTCCATTCTAGTAGAAAGTCTGTACATACTGTAAATACGTGTGATTGCTTGACTTGAAAAGGTTTAATTTCTGAATGTTTTACCATCCCTGTAAGTTTATAATTTTGACCATAAATTATGATAAATATAACCAAACTCCAAAGGTTGTTCTAATCCATGCAGCTCACACTGATTGTGACACACATTCTTAGTAGCTCATGTCTCATGTCACTGCACTGAAGTCTACAAGCCGGAACTCTGTATGCACGCATGTGTGCGTCTGTGTGTAAGAGTATGTGCGTGTGGTTGGTTAAGATGAATCTGAATGCAAAAGACTAATAAGGAAACTAGAGACTGGTATCTAGAATCCTACCCACCTGGCTTTGAGCTGAATTGTGCTGCATGACGCTGTAATGATCCGTTGAGCAGGCAGGGAGCATGCTGCCAAAGGTGACTGGGAAAGCATTCTGTTGGCTCCTTGTATTTGCTCCTACAGAGCAAAAAATACAGGCAACTTCTAACTGTGAGTGTCCCACTGGAAATGTACAATCTGTGTGTGTTCGAGTATTTGTTATAGTAAGAAACGTTTACACAGCTTGTAGAATTATTTTGTGGGAAAATAAATTTTTCTAACTTCTCCCACTTCCTTTTCTAACCCTGCTTATTGTTCTGTTATCTCCCAGTATACCTATCATTCCGTCCCCACCACAAACTCAAAGAGTTTCATTGTCTGTCAAAACCTAGAAGTGCTTCTTATAACCAAAGTTTCTGCTCTTCAGAAGTAATCAGGGCAAACGGGGTGACTTGAAGTGAACAAATGGTCAGAGCATTTTCCTACATCAGACATCTATGAAGGGGAAACTAGAAGATACTATCTCAATGATGCTGCTGTGAGCAGCTCACAATGTGGTTGTCATGTTAAGGCTAAAACCTCCATGTCTCCTAAGTGTACATTTTGTCCAGTTATGACTGGACCATAAGACAGTATTCGGTGTACTAGTACCTGAAATTTGTCCCTGGAGAGTGCCTCTCTATAATTGCCTGACTTCAGATTTGTACGTTATATAATTATGATTTTGTTAAGTAAGTTAATCTATTTTTATTTTGCTTCTTTTATTATTCCAGGTTCTTGCCAAATATCATCGGACCTTTATAAGTAAAATGTTTCGCATTGAGCTCCTTACTTTCCCTACACCCAAGGAAACTCAGTTTTTAAAATGAGCTACATATATAGTGTTCTATCAGCTAATATGAAACATTTCCCTCAGAATCAGTGTATTTGTTAATTAGCTCTGTATTGTTGAAATGAATTTATTTATTGACTACAAAAACTGTAGTGATAATATATAAATTGATGCAAAGTAGTCACATCATTGGAAAACCATATCCCAATTAAGATTACTTTTATAAAATATTTCTGGTAAACTTTCCATCATGGTAAGATGCAGCTGATCACCAGCCTCATTCTTTGCTACACATAATTTCATCCCAATAATAACTTTAGAATATTTAAATTCTTGAAGTATAACTGGTATGTATCTAACCTGCTGCTACCATTAATCCCTTTCAAAAAGTCATGCTAATGGATTCCATTTTTAAAATTCTATACCTGGATTCTTAGGTTTTGGTTGTTTTTTTAAACTTTATTGTGAAATATGTTAGTCCAAATCAGAGTATTTCTCAAAAACTATATTGCAGGATTTGACATAAGAGCATCTATACATGAAAACTGTATAGTGAACATATCTGTAAACAGTATGTACTAAATTTGTAAATGGAGAAATAATCCCAGACAATGGGATATTTACTGACTTGTGGAATATAAAATTATAGTCTTTTCACAGAGCAAAAGCTTAACCTTAACTTAGTTGTAGAATCATGATTTTTGTAGTCTACCTAGAAAATGCTGGAAATGTTCTTAATAGTTCTACTCTGTTTTTTTGTCAAACCCATTTCAGTTTTTACTATGCTCTTTCTCTACTGCTCGTATAAGTTACTGTTACAAAAAGGTGCTGCTAAATGTAGGGTGTCTTAGTCATATTGTACTGTGGGACAATGCCACATTTTTAACATGGTCTGCTCTGCATTCCTGTTAAACATTTGCTGTCAGCTACACTGAACTGTTCAACAAACCTGACTTAAAGAAATTCATCTAAAGCAAATAAAGAGCTGGCTTCTGCACTGTTTATTATTAGTAGCATCAATTGTGATCTGAGGAATGATTCTTACAGTTGAGAATATGTTAAATATTCAACACTTCCCACTTGTGGAGCATTTTCCTTGGGACAATGCCAATCACTGATGTTACTTTAGTGACCTTCCCATGATGTCTGATAAAATAATAGCATAATGTAGGTAAAGGACCTTTTAAGATATGAGCACAGCAAAATAATTATCCTTAATAATTAATAATAATTCTCCTCCACCTTAATTCTACATGTGCAGCAATTCAGACTTTGAATTTTATTATTCCTTCATTTTTAAATGAAGATCTATTTTGATGACAAATTTAATTCCTCATCCTTGTCGGTTTGCTCAATGAGGTAATGCTGCTAGTCTCAGATATTCTGATCTTATTGAAACTTTAAGTCACACTGTTAGAGGAAAAAGATAACTACATGGTTTTGGATCAGTTGTTTCATTTCGGCTAAATTATATTTTTAACTATTTGTACTTCTCTTTGCTATTTAAACTGTGATACAGGGTTTTAAAGTAAAATGTACTCACTGTTGAATTAAAATGCTTTTTCTGTTTCACAGATATGTCAACACTAAGTAGGTTAAAAGATAATATATCAATTTCTTCCACATTTTCCTGATTTTTTCCTTTTCATTGTATTTTTTCTTGTTTATTTGTCCTTTTAAGATTGAATGTGTTCCATTTTTCAATTTGCTTTATTTTTGAAGGAAAGAAACCACTGAAAATGTGTATGTTAAAGGAAATATTTTTAACAATTTATTTGTCCTGTTTTCGATATGCAAATATTTATCTTCTATTTTGCCCGCATTGCTTATATTTTGCTATTTATCAATACTAACCAAAATTTACATATTTGCTGCTACCATTTTCATTCCAGCTTAACACATAAGGCTTTGTAGAGAACATGAGAAAAAATGGATTTTGTGGATTAAAACAAAATATATTTAAAATTTAGAGGTGTGCTGAGTCCTAGAAATGGAAGGGCCACAGGTAAACACTATTTCTCTTTAGTCAAATGACATCTTTTGGATATAAGGCAGAATGAGGGATGTAAAGAAGTCGGTCAGATATTTGAATCTTTGGAGCTTGAAATATTTTTCCCCTCATTTAATAAGCATCTGTTGGGGACCTGCTCAGAAGCAGTGACAGAAAACACAGGGTCCCTGCCTCCAGGATCTTCCCAAGTGTGAAGGTGGTAGTTAGGAGCATGCCTAGAAAACTAGAGTATTCTCAAAGTGCCACAACAGCAGTAAATACGGGCCCTAGGGGTACAGAAAGACAAATGACTATCTCAAACTCAGGGAAGGGTATTCAAGAAAGGCTTCTTCAAAGATGAGGCCAATGAAAGGTCTTACCTGATCCAGGAGGCCTTGCAATCTTGATGGGTGTTAATAGTTATGAGACATTCCTAACAAACCTATGGCAGGGGGAAAGAAACTATTAGGCAATTGTTTCCAACTGTCCACTTATATGCCCAAGGCTCAGGAATTTGGGGATGATTTGATAAGTGTTAACAAAAACATATATATAACTGTATATGACAGCCTTTAAACTAAGGCTGTTTAAATATATCTCATCTAAAAAACAGGTAGGATGAAGCAAGAATAAGTTTATCATTATTTTTTTAAAAACAATCACTTACATTGGCCACTATAGGGGATGACTGATCACTTTTGTGGTTTAGATCAGCAGTCACCAACCTTTTGGACCTCACAGACAACCAGTGCTCCGTGGACCACTGGGGCTGGCCGGTGGGGCTGGTTTAGATGATGTTCTTGCTTTTACCTAAATTCAGATTTGATTTTGAAGTGGTCTTTTTGTGTATTGAGGTGTCATAGTCAAAATAGTCTTGCCTGATGTTGGTGTTCTGTGAAATTATGTCCAATAGGAGAACACCAAGACCTTCCTGTAAGTGCCAGGCCAGTTCCTAGTTGTCAGAAGTTGGCTTTCTCTTCCTCACCAATCACGTCTTCATTAACTATTACAGTATGTATTCCAACAAATGATAAAAGGTACTGACATTGTGGAATATTCTCATCTTTTTAATCTACAAAGTAAAGAAAAGATTCATTTTACTTTTTAGTTTAAATCATGGGGGAGGGGGAAAAGTAAACAGTAAAGACAGATTCTTATTTACAAGACATCCAGACTTCATTTGAAAGAGGGTTTATTTATCAAACTAGAGGCCCGGTGCACGAAATTCGTGCACAGGGTGAAGGGTGGGTCCCTCAGCCCGGCCTGTAATGATGCCAACATCCCTCGCCCCAGCCTCCGGCCCAAGGCCCCTCCCCTCCCCTGCCGGGGCGCAGATGCGGGGCTTGCGTTGTCAGGGCGATGCCACCAGTGTCCCGTCCTGGCCACTATGGGCGCCTCCATCTTTGTTTTGGAGTGACAGTTAATTTACATATTACTCTTTTATTAGGATAGTAAGTAGAGAAAGAGGTAAAATATTCAGCTCAGTAATCAGCACATGGTAAATGTCATACCTCCTATGCCCTGAATTCTTAAGAAACTACTTACTTAGGAACTCAGGAATGAAAAATAATATACTTTATAACCAAATTAAATATTGCTAATTTTTTTCCTTGTGAGATTCATTGATTGCTATTAAAAATTACTTGCATTCTTTACAAATTAAAACATATGACTCCAAATAAACGTTTCAGACATCTATAGGCATTTCCTTTTCTTTGTACTCTGCTAAATCCAAAAGGGAAAATTATTCTAAAATTACAAATATAATCTCATATCCCTCCCCCTCCCCCATCCATTACTTCCTCAGTGTCTCCTGATCACTGGTGAAACAGCTGGCAGCCTTTTCTGATTCCTTAGCAACTATGCCATCAATCACTTGGCCGAACAACAGATTGATCTTTAAATTAAAACACACACACAACAGAGCAAATGTTTGTAATTTTCATTTCTAAGGATCCTTCTCCTGTATACTTTTGCATTTTACAAATTTTGCAATAAAAAAACCTATACAATCCTTATTTGCCAGCCAAATCATGTCTTCTACTCTGGCCTCTTTGAGAGAATCAATGTCCATGTCCTGTAATGGCACAACAGATGGATCAAATCGCTGCAGCTGTTTCAATTGTTCAAATGACAGGCCAGCTCCCAGCATTCCTTGTCCTCCAATGTGTGGTTCCTATTTGGAGGAAATAAATAAAAATATACATGAACATCCTACAATTAGCAAGTATATGTGCCTGTGCACAATTTAAAAGACAAATTCAGTTGTATTATCACAAGTTCCAAAAACAGAAAAATGAGTAAATGCCTTTTATTTTTGTAGAATATACTGTTTTTCCAGGTAGTGAAGTGGGGAAGCAGTAACATACGGTCACATGAAGAATAAATATTAAAACTCTGCTTATCAAACATCATGACATCACAAAGGACCTGAGCTTCATAGTTAAAAATACAAATTATAGCCCTGCCACATTTTAGCTATGTGACCTTAAGCAAGTAACTTTACCTAACCATTCCCTCATCTTATAAAACATAAAATACTCAAGATACTGGGAGGTTTAAATAAAGAAGGTGCTATCATGCCTGGCATGTAGTGGCATATAGTGGCTGTCACACAGAGGTATATAGTCCTCAATAAATAGAACATTATCTCTATATATATTTAAAAGCCAAGCAACCGGAACACCGGAATGACTGGAACAACCAGAAAAACCGATCGCTATGACGGGAACTGCGGCCAGCCAACCGGCCCAGTTGTGGGATGGCCCCTCCCACTGGCCGGTCCCACCCCCGATCCCTCCCCTCACCCTGATCAGGGGTGGGGCTGGCTGGCCAACCTCCTGCATCCCCTCCCCGTGACTGGGCCCCATCGGGGCGGGCCGGCCAGACCCAACCTGTACATAAATTCATGCACCAGGCCTCTAGTTATCAATAACAGCAATAGATAAAATTCAGTTTTATGTATGAGACTTCCCCAAACTGAGTTACTAAAGATGCCTCTTTCTGACCCATTCCAACTAGATAAGTTTTTGTTGTTTTTAAATGCACTAGAATATAATATCAAAAAGAGATCAATTAAGGCAGCATCAATCAGTTTAGAGGAATAAAGAATCATAAGGAATTGAGTGATACTTACAAACAACTACTGTGAAAGACCCATAATCATAATTTAAGTCCCCATTTCACAGACAAATGTTTGTGTTACTGAAGATATATTTTCTTAGTTGTATGCCTGAAAACCTGTATTTATTAACCTATGGGGGGGGGGAGAGGAATCTCTCCTTTAGTTATACATTAAGTGATACACACAAAATTTCATGTGAATTCTGAAGTCTTCCTTTCATCTACAATGTAATTATCTTAATTTCTGCATCCAGAAACCATCTCTGGATTGCTTTTTATTTATGTACTAAAGGCCCGGTGCATGAAATTTGTGCACTCTGGGGGGCTCCCTCAGCTCAGCCTGTGCCCTCTTGCAGTCTGGGAGCCCTCGGGGGATGTCTGACTGCCGGCTTAGGCCCAGGGAGCGGGACTAAGCCGTCAGTCGGACATCCTTAGCACTGCTGCGGAGGCGGGAGAGGCTCCTACCGCTGCTGTGCTCGCCAGCCGTGAGCCCGGCTTCTGGCTGAGCAGCGCTCCCCCTGTGGGAGCGCACTGACCACCAGGGGGCAGCTCCTACATTGAGCATCTGCCCCCTGGTGGTCAGTGTGCGACATAGCGACCAGTCATTCCACAGTTCGGTTGATTTGCATATTAGCCTTTTATTATATAGGATTCCAATTACTTACCAGAATTCTATACAGAAAGGTATTAAAGTTACATGTTCAATGATCTGAATGCATATGAGCATTATTACAGATTTAAGCTTAATCTCAAATATCATGGACTAAAAATCTAGTTATAAACATGTTTTCAATAAAAATCAAAACAGAAACACGGTGCTAGATAAAATAAAGTACAAGAAATCTTTCTAAATGCTACATAATTTACATAAGAAACTGTAAAGAAGCAATAATCCTGAACCATTACCTCACTTTGATTAGTCTTTTGATATCCTAGTTATTTTAAAGCCTGTTTGGGTTTTGATGTGACATGAGAAAAAACTGCTCAAAATTTTCCTTATTTGAAAAATCTAGAACTGGGAAGAGGGAAAAACTTGGAAATAAAATTTTTAGCAACGTGAACAAGAACCACAATTGAAACAAAAATCTAACAAGAATACACCTGGGCTCTGTGGCACTTTAACACAAAGGCAAAGGATGAACACAAGAAAAAACTGTCAGGATGTAAATTCTCTACGGGCAGTCTAAATGGATTTAATGAAACGTTTTTGTTTATGACAGTACAGACAGCCCTCGGGTTACGTCGGACTCTACGTCATTTCGTGGTTACATCACCATTTCCCATCTTACCTAATAATAGAAAAAGATGCTAATTGATCGTACCTTCGCTATGCCCATCAGCCAATCAGAAGAGTATGCAAATTAAACCAACAAAGATGGCCGTTAAATTTGCATACTGC